AATGGGAATAAAGGGGAATTCAGGTTACTTTAAATGTGGCACGGTTATTATTTCCAAATGGGCTGGACTGAGTATTTCATAAACAGATGATCCGCTGGGATTTTAACCACACCTTCCTCTGTAAACCAAGGATTATCTGTAAAAGAGAAAATATCCAATGATCAGCAACTCTCTGGGTTGAAATGCCTTGTTGATGTCAGAGATTAGAGGAGAATGACCAGACCGCCTTCCCGATGAATACTAAGTCAAATGGCTACTCATTCCAACCAAGGAATGCAGAAGAAGATCTCTCAATTCACATGTTGAATATTGAAGCATATGATATCGACAGAAGACCACACCAGGTGTCACTGCTGTCATCTACAATCACACAGGTGGCCAAAAACTGGACAATAAAAATTGGAAAGCCATTGTCTGGTCTGATGAGTCTTGATTTCTGCTGAACATGCAGAGAGTAGAGTCAGAATTTGGTGTAAATAACATGAAAGCATGGTTCCAACCTGCGTAGTTATCAGTGGTTCAGGCTGGTGGTGGAGTTCCAGATGTACTTAATAAATTGTCTGATGTCACACACATGAAAAATCACCACAAAAGGTGGAGAACAACAAAGAAAAAACCCAGGCAACCCCCCAGATAACCAATCAGATATAGTGCTGGTTTAGTATCAGAGCCTCAACACCCGAGGCTTCTGCAGTAGGAGGAACTTACTTTACCATCTGTAACTTTATTATTAGTAAAATTACACATTATACAACTGTACATCAAACAAAGCCGTTTTCATGTTTAAATTACTCTTACTATTTTATGTAAAATCTTAATTCACTCCTTCACTCTATTTTACACTGTTTTCAAATGTACTGAAATAGGACTAATCACACTGAAACAAAATTACACAACTACACCCAGCCACAGATAGCAGTTTTAATAACACAAAACAAAATATGGATAAACTAATAGTGTTTTAATTAATATCCATTGTGTACATTCAAACATCACTATAAAGCAGAGGCAGAGGGATGTGTTTGATGTCTGGATCACTCAGTGGCGGTGCAGCAGCCTGGGTCTCAGGGTCTGTTTTGTCTCTGTACACTAAGCTTCAGAGGTGGAGACTCTAAAACACATGCAGGATGTGTAAGATTAGAAGATACAGATACATGCATTTGACATATAAACTGCATATAAACGCGGTCCTACGAGTCTAGTACAAACGTCAAGAGGATAAATATCACAAAAACTCCAAAGCACTCTCTTTTCGTGTAAAATTAAAATGCCTTTATGGAATGGATATATTTTTATAATTGTTGAAGACGTGTATACCAAAACGCACTGTACATGAAAGTGCCTTTGGGTTTTTGATATTTTAGCTTATTTTAGCACAGTCACATAATCATTAATAAACTCCTTGAGCTTTTTCTTCTACTCTAAATTTCACGTACAATTACTTAATCTTTCAAACATAACATGAAGGCAGGAAAAAAACTATAACCGAATTTTTACCTTTAGTTCATTCATACTCTAAGGATCTTCTCCCATTCCGTGGCTGTAAGTGTAAACACAATTTTTAATTTAATTTCAAATTCTGCCTATTTTGTAGGCTTTTTAATTCCTTTTTTAGTGGCACAAACGTAAACATACCCGATAGAGAAAGTAGCCTCTGCTCTGGATTCCTCCAGGTCCCTGGAGGTCGGCCTGTAAAAACATTTAAAAAAACACACAATTTAGCCACCTGCAAAAAAGAGTTTCTGAGTTTTTGCTCTTAGTGTTGTCTACAGCGCCTCTTCACCAGCAAAGCCACCAACATGTACCCACTCAAAGACTCACATCTGGATTTGAAAACACACACTCTCCACGTTTCTTGCTCACGTTTTATCGGCGTCCACTTTGTGTTTGTCAGTGCTTTGATAGTAAGTGGGGGAGGAATTCACCTGGCTTGCCACACCAATTATAGACCATAATAACTCTCCGCTTGGGAAAGAACAACTAATGTAGAGTGAGTTTGCACAGAGTGAGGAGAGCTCTCAGATATGCAACAGCATGATTGACATGGACGCTCAGGATGTGGATAAACACACTGAAATCAATTACAGAATGGAGCACACACATTTCACTATAAACATTTGCAGCAAGCGCACAAAAGTGGAGCTGCTTTCATCGTGCCTGCTGCAATTATTATCATCTATTCATCAGCTCTTTCTATACCATCCTGTTGCTCTTGAAATATCCAAATATATACGTTTAAGAAGTAACTTTGCATAACTGCTGTAACACAGTGTAGGAGGTTATTAAACAACACAGGATTTAATGACAGTTTGAGCCACTGATTGCATTTTGCATTCAAAAAACAAAGTATTTCTCTTTGTTTTATCAGTCAGTGGCTGTGGAGAACAGATGTGAGCGGTACATACGTGCATTGTGAGTCCTCTCTCTCTTCTAGTATTTAGTTGGGAAACTAGACGCAGAAGAGGGTGCAACTGAGGGGACTGACAAACATACACATATACAGACACATAGATAGATACAGGCAGATACACACACATGAATAACAGCAAAAAAGAAAGTACAGACTATGGAATGTGCAAAGGCAAAGAGAAAAACACGTTTTTTTTTTCTCTCAACACATGCTACACAGAAATACAAACGTACAAATGCTTCCTCACTGCAGCAAAGTGTGTTGCCTGTGTAAATAGATCACATTCTGTGTCTCATTCTGTATCACAGAGATGGTGGAGTGAGAAAGTGAACAGCATCATGTGTCACCGAAGCAAAATGCTGTGTTATTTCAGTAAAAGTTGCTGCATGTGCATTGAAGGATGTTTCCTGTCTGTGCTGGCTTCAATAACCATAAATGCACACCGAGGAAAATAAATATGATGTTTGTAAATAATAATGACATCTGTTTTTCACACTGAGTATAATATTTGACAATTTAAAACTATCATTCTATTTTATATTAGCTGTAGAAAAAGGCTCCCTGCATCATCTAGCTTGAGTTCTGTTATGTGGTAAACGGCCAGAAAGTCTTTTGCATACAGAAACAACATGAACAAGGATTCATCTTCATCAAAAACAAGCATACAAGCAAATAAATAATGACATATTTTCCTTATAGTTAAGTATAAAATTGCACGCTAAAATATCATCTGCAACTTCAGACACAATCCCCTTTGCTTTTGATACAACATTTGTGTGAGGTGTCAGGTATGAGGGGCAGACAGGAAGGATCGCTAACCCTAATACATCCAGGTTCTCGTGCGATCATGAAGCACAGCCTCCTACTAATCTATGATCTATAGGTATTTCACATGCAGAGCAAACACAGGGCAAAATTTTATCATACATATGTACATATTTAGATATATTAGGACCGTGCATGTTTACATTTCCAAATGTTGGTCTGACATGCATTTGTGGTTAGGGGCATGACGTGCAGGTACTTTTAATTGCTGGTGTTAATAGCTCTGATAGGCCTAAATTCAGTCGATTAAGAGGCGTCACAAGAAGAAGTGCATATTCAGTTGTAAAACAAAAGAGGTGTTTTTTTTAGGTCAAGCAGCATTCTGCAGCAATCCAGTTCAATCTTTTAACTTACCCCTCCCTTTGACAAGACAGAACCTTGTGGTCTAGAGTAATGAAACAAAAACTGCACATAGAGGGCAGGAATATATATATATATATATATATATAAATAAAAATAAAAATAACGACCAAACCTACTCAAAAACCAGCACAACACGTGCAATGTTTAATCTATAATGATAGCCATATAAGGCAAAGCATTAAAGTGTGAGAAAACATTTACTTACCCTTTTGCTTTTTTCTCTCACATTCAGCTCCTGAACACACAATGAAATATTGACAACTAAATTAGTCTTTGGTCTTTTGCATGTCTTTTTTTTTTACCGTTGACATTTTATGATGTTAGTGGGAGGGTCATCTCATGCATTTGTAGCTGTGAGCACTGAAGCTCCACCCACATGCTGCTTACGAGGAGCAGCCAATCAGAAAGATCTCGATAAACAGGAAGCCGGTGGAATATGAAACTGCTTGTGCCGGCACCAAATCCCAGTATAAGATCCTTTTAAATTATGAATTATGCAAAGCTGCTCTTGTAGAGTCCAAGATTAAAGACATCAGACTGGAGAAAGAGCATAATAGGTCCTTTAAAAATTATGACTGTTGCACAGTATTTGTGTCTTTATAGTTCCACGTACAGTCTTCATAGTGTTTTGCATTGGATAGGGAAAGCAGGGTATCTTAGTCCAAAGGCTTCATACTGTGAATTCTCTGAGTTATGGTTTGGTCGTTCTTTGTGAACTCTGTCATAATGCCATAATTAATGTTTTAATGTTGTGTACCAACTTCTGCAAAACAAAAGTGTTTCATGTTACTTTTCAAGTAAACAACTCTGAGGTACCTTTGATTTCTGAACCAGCATCAACACACAGAGTTCTCCTAAGACATCAGATGCCTGGAAAGAGACCAGAGAGTTGTTTAAATGTTTCAAGTTATTAAAATATAGATAGATAGATAGATAGATAGATAGATAGATAGATAGATAGATAGATAGATAGATAGATAGATAGATAGATAGATAGATAGATAGATAGAAGTTGGAGTGTAGCAGTGCACTTAAGTGTTTCATTCCATCACATTTCTCCTATAAACTCCTCCATGTTCTCATATGACAAATAAAACTTTTACTAG